CAAGGGGCATCGTCTATAGTTGGGAATGACCCGTCCTGCCTCTATTTTCACAATGGACGGTGGGGTGGCGAACATCACCCTCAATCTGAAGGAGTTCCAAATAGTTAGTCACAAGGGGCATCGTCCATAATTGAAAATTACTCAGTCCTCTCTATATTTCCACAATGGATGCTGGCTCAATCCGAAGGAGGTGCATGTTGTTAGTTATGAGGAGCATCGTCCATTGTTGGGAATGACTCAGTACTCCTATATTTTCACGATGGATAGTGGTGACGGATATCATCCTCAATCTAAAGGAGGCCCACATAGTTAGTCACAAAAGACATCGCCTATAGTTGGGAATTACTCAGTCCTCTAGATATTTCCACAATGGATAGTGGAATGGCGAATATCACCCTCAAACTGAAAGGGGTCCATTTTGTTAGTCACAAGGGTGTTACTGCTTCTAGACATTGTGCGCGATTGCACGTATGTGCATGGCTGATCATCCATTCTCCCGAATAAATTAAGACAGAGATCTTTACAACTTCTTCTAACTTGTGTTATCGACTAAGAGTCACAGCCAAGCAACACAAGGGGCATCGTCTATAGTTGGGAATGACCCGTCCTGCCTCTATTTTCACAATGGACGGTGGGGTGGCGAACATCACCCTCAATCTGAAGGGGTTCCAAATAGTTAGTCACAAGGGGCATCGTCCATAATTGAAAATTACTCAGTCCTCTCTATATTTCCACAATGGATGCTGGCTCAATCCGAAGGAGGTGCATGTTGTTAGTTATGAGGAGCATCGTCCATTGTTGGGAATGACTCAGTACTCCTATATTTTCACGATGGATAGTGGAGTGACGGATATCATCCTCAATCTAAAGGAGGCCCACATAGTTAGTCACAAAAGACATCGCCTATAGTTGGGAATGACCCGTCCTGCCTCTATTTTCACAATGGACGGTGGGGTGGCGAACATCACCCTCAATCTGAAGGAGTTCCAAATAGTTAGTCACAAGGGGCATCGTCCATAATTGAAAATTACTCAGTCCTCTCTATATTTCCACAATGGATGCTGGCTCAATCCGAAGGAGGTGCATGTTGTTAGTTATGAGGAGCATCGTCCATTGTTGGGAATGACTCAGTACTCCTATATTTTCACGATGGATAGTGGTGACGGATATCATCCTCAATCTAAAGGAGGCCCACATAGTTAGTCACAAAAGACATCGCCTATAGTTGGGAATTACTCAGTCCTCTCTATATTTCACAATGGATAGTGGAATGGCGAATATCACCCTCAAACTGAAAGGGGTCCGTCCATTTTGTTAGTCACAAGGGTGTTACTGCTTCTAGACATTGTGCGCGATTGCACGTATGTGCATGGCTAATCATCCATTCTCCCGAATAAATTAAGACAGAGATCTTTACAACTTCTTCTAAGTTGTGTTATCGACTAAGAGTCACAGCCAAGCAACACAAGGGGCATCATCTATAGTTGGGAATGACCCGTCCTGCCTCTATTTTCACAATGGACGGTGGGGTGGCGAACATCACCCTCAATCTGAAGGAGTTCCAAATAGTTAGTCACAAGGGGCATCGTCCATAATTGAAAATTACTCAGTCCTCTCTATATTTCCACAATGGATGCTGGCTCAATCCGAAGGAGGTGCATGTTGTTAGTTATGAGGAGCATCGTCCATTGTTGGGAATGACTCAGTACTCCTATATTTTCACGATGGATAGTGGTGACGGATATCATCCTCAATCTAAAGGAGGCCCACATAGTTAGTCACAAAAGACATCGCCTATAGTTGGGAATGACCCGTCCTGCCTCTATTTTCACAATGGATAGTGGAATGGCGAATATCACCCTCAAACTGAAGGAGTTCCAAAGAGTTAGTCACAAGGGGCATCGTCCATAATTGAAAATTACTCAGTCCTCTCTATATTTCCACAATGGATGCTGGCTCAATCCGAAGGAGGTGCATGTTGTTAGTTATGAGGAGCATCGTCCATTGTTGGGAATGACTTGTTGGGATAACAACGGTTATCGGCTCAGTCTTCTAGACGGCAGCGAGTCGAACGACAGAGGCAGGCGACGTGCGATCAGCTGCTGAGTGAGTTCGCTTGGCCAAATCATGAGATGCCAAGCGATGACCAGATAGTATCTATGGAGAAGACGAGCATA